TTGTATATAAATATAACTTGTTTCTAAAATTATGAGATTTATATCATTGTTTGGCTTATTTATCCAAAAGAGGAGTCATTTATCACTTTGTTTGGCTTGAAGATGAAACCATGTAATATAATAGAAATGATCGGTCAAACTCTTGCCACCTCATCTATAGTTCATAAATGATCATCTTCACCAAACCTGAATACATACATGTTCCTGAACATCCCCGAAGTTAACCTCAAACTGTTTCTTCTTCTCCTACTTGGCTTTTCCACAAAGGTTGGTTGTTTTATTAAGAGTCGTTGCTATTTTTTTTTTTTTTTATCGGAGCCGATTCCAATTTGCAAATCGAATAATTTCACTTTTACAAAGTACCCTTTTCCGCAAATCTTGATTAAAGTTTGTGATCAGTTATTGGTATCGATATACAAATTTCGATCTTGCATATCGAAAAGTATCAGATCTCAGAAGTCTTTACCAGTGTGGTGTTCTTGGTTTCAGGACAGGAAAGGAATTCATCCGTCCGAAACTGCGAGCTCTAAGCTATGGCTATCACCAAGATTTATATAGTGTGAGTGTTCAACCGATCCGTGCAAAGTTAATCTACCGGCGATCAACTTCCGGTCAACAAGATAACGTGCCGGTTCTCATACCGGTTTGGTTTTTTATGGTTTTCATCATAGGTACTATTCGTTGCACGGCCATGTCGAGACAATGGCGCGTGAGATTCTCAAAGGAGCAAACGGCGTTCCAGACGTGGAAGCAACACTCTGGCAAGTGCCGGAGACATTACCTGAGAAGATACTGGAGAAAGTGAAGGCTGCTCCGAGACCGGACGATGTGCCGGAGATTAGACCGGATCAACTGGCTGAAGCAGACGGATTCATGTTCGGGTTTCCTTCTAGGTTCGGAGTGATGGCATCACAGGTCATGACCTTCTTTGACAATACAAGTGATCTATGGACTACACAGGAACTTGCCGGGAAACCTGCCGGGATATTCTGGAGTACCGGTTTTCACGGTGGAGGCCAAGAACTCACTGCGTAAGAAACATATTCCTCCTAACACATAAGCAATGTTAGAAGAAGATAATTGTCGAGTGATTGATTTCTTTTATCTGCAGATTGACAGCAGTGACAAACCTGGCTCATCACGGGATGATATTTGTACCGTTGGGGTACACATTTGGTAAAAGCATGTTTGAGATGGGAGAGGTGAAAGGTGGTTCGCCGTATGGCTCAGGGACGTATGCAGCTGATGGGTCACGCGAACCAACTGAGCTGGAGTATCAGCAGGCGAATTACCATGGCAAGTACTTTGCAGGGATAGCCAAGAAACTCAAGAAACGGTCTCCTGTCTAAACCGAATCGACTCTGTGTTTCCTATACTAATGAATCTGTAAATGCAAAGGAGAAAACCGTAAAATAAGATTTGACATATACAGAGAAACACACCTGTGTGTAGGTAATGTCAAACAAATCTCATTTCCCATATATTCTTGCTACAATTGAGAAGCTATTGATCATCCAAACCATTACCACTTGATATCAACATGAACAATCCCTATGCATTCTTCTATGTCATTGTGATCTTTACCCAGATCTCACCTGGAACGTCTACCATCTCCGTGACCCCAACCGGTATTCGCTGCTCTCTGTCCATAAAATCAAAACGGAAAATTCAATGAAAAGAACAAATTGAGAAGCATGCTTCATTCAAGTATTGTATTGTGGCATTTTTACTCTTTCATCATGAGAAATTTGCAAGAATCTCTACGAGTACACTCCCTTCTCTGAAAAGCTCTGCATACACCACGAACC